ACTTTGTAGCCCCGGCTGGCCTCGAACTCACATCGATCCTTCTGCCTCAGCCTCCTGAGTGCTGGGTTTACAGGTGTGCACCACTACACCTGGCCTCAAATATTTTATTGAACTGGATGTTACTACTTAAATAGTTTCCAGTTAACCTGACACAGATAGTTTGAAATGTGTATCCCAATTTCAGAAATACTTAACTCTTATAAATAATTGTTCATAGTATGATATATGCATGTATGCAAATACCACAATGGCCTGGCATGGTGGCATACACCTGTAATCTCAGCACTCGGAGGCTGAGACAGGAGGGTTGCCATGAGATTTAGAACAGCCTGGGCTACATAGTAAGTTCCAGGTCAGCCTGAACTACATGGTCAGACTCCAGTAGGCATTCAGGTAGAAATGTTGAATGTACTGTTGTTTATACAAACTTGTAGTGCAGGGAGCAGTGTGAGCTAAAAATGTCATTTTTGGAGAGGCAGGAATTTTATGATGAATGAAATCACGAGTGCAAAAGATACAGATGAAGAAAAGAAGAGGTCTGATCTAAGAACTAAGCCATGTTAGTCAGCTAAATTCAGGACAGAGAATTTAGATTTAGCTCATCATTGGCCTTGATGAGATTTACTACTTAAATGAGACAATGCTTTTATTTTTATTGAGTGTCCAAGAAGTGCGGGTTGAGGCCTAGAGCTGAGAAGTGAATGATAAAAGGTAGTCGAATATGAGAAGATCTGCAAGTAGAGTACTCCAGGGAGAAACAGTTTATGCCGAGGAGCTGAGGTGGAATTGAGTTTGTTGTTTCTGAAGAACCGGAGAAGGGCAGTGTGCCCAGAGTGAAATGCGTCGCTGCAGGGTTTTACAAAGTGCCCTTTACTTGGTTAAGGATATTCCTTTCTGTTCCTGATTTGGTGTGCTTTTAATTATGAATAGGTAATGAATTTTATCAACTTTTAGTAACTTGATCACATTCTAGTTTGAGTTAATTTCCTACAGTTCACTTAATTTTGCACTCTTAGAATAAATGCAATTTGGTTATAGAATTTTGTTGTGCTGCTTGATTTGATTTTCTGATTCAACATTTGTGCATCTGTATTTTACTTGCAAAGGATATTTGTTATTTGAATGTTTAACTTACAGGTGAAATCATCTTCACTTTTGGTTGTCTTTCCTAACTACTGATTTAATGTTTTTGTTTTTTTAATTATAATGATTTGGTTTACTTACTAATAATGTAATTATTTAGACTTTCTATTTCTTCTTGAATTATTATAGTTATTTGTAATTTCTTAATGATGTCTGTCTTCTGTGTAACGCATGCATAATTTTTGTATCCTCTGTAGTTTCATTCATCTCTTCTGCTGTCCTTTTTTTTTTGAGACAGGGTCTCACTACGTAGTGCAGGTTCCTTTTGTAGCTTTTGTAGCCCAGGGTGGCCTCTTACAGCAATCCTCCTGCCTCAGACTCCCAAGTGCTGGAATTGTAAGTGTGCGTCACCACACCTGGCTTGCTGTTTGTTTTTGTTTTTGATTTTTTGAGACATGGTCTTGCTGTGTAGTTCAGGTTGGCAGGCTGCCCTTGAACTCACTGTGTAGCCCAGGCTGGCCTTGAACTTGGAGCAATCCTCTTGCCTAGCCTTTTGAGTGATGGCGTTATAGGTGTGTACACCACACCTGGCTCTTCATCATTTTTTTTTTTTTAATCAGGCTGTCATGATAGTCTTTCAGTGGACTGTTTTGCATTCTTTCTTATATATCATGGTTCTCTTTTTCATAAATTTGTATTCTTATCTACAACTAACTTACCTTTCCTTCTCGCCCTCCCCTCTTTCTTTTTTCTCTTTCCCGTTGCTTCCCCCTCCCCTCCTTTCTTTTCTCTTCTTTTTTCTTTTGTAGTACCACTTCTGGGGAGTCTAACCCAGGTGTACTCTACCACCAAGCTACATCCCTAGGACTTCCTTTGTTTTTTATTATTGTGGAATAGGGTCTCCCTAATTTGCCCAGGCTGGACTTTCAGTTTCTTATGTTCTTTTTATGATTTGTTGAAATGACACATACTATTCTAATTTTTCAGTCTTTTCTTTAACATAAACAAGTTGTTTCTAAATTGTATGTACTGATTTTTTTGTTATCGTTTTAGTATTCATTTCTACTTTGTTGTGCAGTAAAGTATGTAGTTTATTTACATATATCATAATTACCTATTTTTTTTTTTTACTTATTTTTACTGTAGTCTCTCATTATTTTCAGTTGTTCCACTCCTTGGTATTTCTTTCCTCATTGATTTTTTTGAGACAGGACCTCACTTTGTAATTCAGGCTGGCGTTAAACTCAGCATGTAGCTCGGGCTGGGCTCAGACTCATGGAAGTCCACCTGTTTCAGCCTCCCAAATGCTGAGATTATAAGCCCAACTTTCTCATTGGATTTTCATTTTACTTTTCCTTCTATGTTGTCTTGGAAATTATGTGTTCTTCTCATTTTAGTGGTTACTAGAGTTTTTGATATAAATGGTTATTAAAGTCTTTAGCTTTAACTTTCTAGGGAACAGTTAAAACCTTAGAGTATTTTGATTTTAATAACTTCTTCAAACTTACTAACTTAAAACTTGATTTTGTTTAAATTCCTCAAAACATTACTAACATACTAATTATACTTTCAGTATTTTAGTATTATCTCACATTTCTACTTGCCTTTTCATTCCTTTATGTGTTAGTTTTTATTTTTATTTTTAGTACTATACCCTGAACTCTTAAGCTTACTAGGCGAGTGGTCTGCCACTGAGCTAAATCCTCATTCCTCCTTGCATTTCTTAACTTCCTTTTGGGATTACAATATTGTCTTTCTGCTAGAAGGACATTTTTTTTTTTTTTTTTTTTCTTTTTGAGACAGGGTCTCACTATGCAATTCAGGCTGGCCTTGAGCTCACTTTGTAGCCCAGGCTGGCCTGGAACTCCCAACGAACCGAGTGCTGGGATTATAGGTGTGTACCACCATGCCTGGCTAGGACATTTTTAAAATTTTGCATTAATTAGGCTCTTCTAGTAGAATGATCCATTTTTATACAAAATATTGTTATTTTGCCCTAAGTCTCGAAAGATGTATTTGCTAAGTATAAAACTACACAGACATCTTTTCTCACCATGTGAAGTATAATGACACTGTCTATAATATAAATCTAATCCTAAGTTTCTTTGATAGTTATCAGTCTCTTTTTTCATTCCTTGTGTGTTTGGTGTTTTACACTTTCATATCATATTTAGGTATAGATTTGTTGTATTTCTTTCTCTTGTGTTTAGGAGTTTGCTAAATCTGTGGTTTGATGTCTTTCATCAGTTCTGAAAAATCCTTATCTGTTATCTTTTCAGATATTGCCACTGAACCATTCTCTGTCTCCCATCCTTCCAGAAGTATTTCTAGACAGATACTAGGCTTTCTTAGTCATCTATGTCTCTTAACATCTTTTGTATTTTTCATCTTTGTGGGTTATGCTGTTAAATTTGTTTTCTTGTTTGTGTTCTCAATGAGCTTCTTCTTTCGCTTTGATTGTTGTTTTAAGACAGGGTCTTGCTGTGAAGTTCAGGCTGTGCTTGTAGCCCAGGCTGGCCTCGATGCTTCTTTCTCTTTGAATGTTTTCTATGCTAATTCTTTGAGGATAAAGGTAAACTCTGCAGAAGAAAATTTTACCAGCTTGTCAGAGACAATTGGATACTTAAAAAAACAGGATCGTAATTAATATATACTTAATTCTCATCTGGGAGGTTATTGAACCCTTAGGGTTATGTAACTTCATATGAGGATGACTCGAGGTTAGTTCTCTTATACAAGGCTTTTTGTGTTTCATAGTCTGAGACAGGCAGTTTTGCCTTGTCCCCAGGGTGGTGGCATTGAAGTATGCTGAGGGAATAGCTCTTTGGGGATGTAAAGTAGCTCTTGCATTGGTCTGCAATCCCTCTGTCAGGAGCTCATGAAAATGAGCCCTCAGAGCCCCCTGACTGGGCAGATGCCCTCAAGTTGAAAGTCAGTTTGATTTTCTTCACTCCCGGTTTTCATCTACACTAGGGTATTGGCTAGAACTCCTTATCTTCATGCTAACTATTAAATGCATTTAAGAAGATAGTTTTATTATTTTTAGTTGTCTGTAACAGGAGAATCAATAAGGGTATTTCACTAGTCATTTTGCTAGAAGTGAAAATTTAAAACTGCTTTTTTAAAAGTTCTGCAGTCTTATCGTTTGAAGTATTCTGGTTACAGTATAATCTTATATATACAACATTTACAAGTTATTGTCATTCAGGCATTAGATACCAATAATTTATCTTTTTACTACATGCTGCTGATTCCCAGTGAAGAAGATGGATGAATAGATGGGAGGTGTGGAGCAGTAGTACTTCTAAAAGCAAGAAATAAGTAAATACCCTTCTTTCAGATTCTATATTGCTTAATGTTCCTTTATAGCCATGTAATGTAATTCTTTCTGAATTCAGAGTGGGGTACACATTGAGGAAACAATGGGCCACCTGTCTGGGCAGGTCAGTTTTGATTTCTGGAAATGCTTGTGCAGGAGTGGTCTTCATTCAGACATTTTCAAAGTAAGGGAAATTTGAAGGGTTTACTGTTATGTGCTTTAGTACACCGAAGTCATTCTGAATTGCAGTCAATGCATGTGATTGAAAAATAGCATAATGATTAAAGGAGAAATATGTCCAGATACGTGACTCTTCTGGTAGTGTTTGGGAATTAGTATTGGCATTTGCTTTAATTTCATCTTAACATTTTAAATAATTTTGAATGTTGAATAAGTAGTAACTGACATGTGGTCAGTTACAGTATTATTACTAATAAGATGTCCAGGTTTCCTTCTTGGGAGGGACCGATATCAAAAGGAATAAAGATTATAATAATACTATCCTGGCACCTTTGGTACAAGTGAATGTTGGAAGTTTTATTTCTAAACTACTGTATGAGTTCTGAATGTAAAGATCTTAAAATTATTTTTTAATTAGGTTCAGGACTTCTGGAAATCTTGTTATCACCCGTGAGATTGATGTGGCAAAAAATCAGTCCTTTTGGTTCATCAACAAAAAGTCTACAACCCAGAAAGTAGTCGAAGAGCAAGTTGCAGCCTTAAATATTCAAGTGGGCAATCTTTGCCAGTTTCTACCTCAGGTATAAGACAAATAAATGTAAACATGAGTAAATTTTATATATATCTTCTTTATGCCATATAAAAATGTAAGTAGTTTTCAAGGGATGGTGTACTGATTACTGTGTACAATGCTGTCTGTCTCAGTTGCACATAGTGTAGCACATGGCATTGTAGATAGTACATTGATTTTTTTTTTCTTTTTCCTCAGTAATGAGAATTGAACCCAGGGCCTTCACAATGAACTACATCCTCAGCCCTTTTTTAACACTTTTATATTTGAAGACAGATTCTCACTAAATTGTCAAGTAGCCCAGGGTGGACTTAAATTTGTGATTTCCCTACCTCCGCTTCCGAGAGAAGTGATTACAGGTGTGCCCATGGCTGAACATAGCCCCACGCTTTTTCTTGTGTTATTGAGGATTGTACCAAACCCTTTTGCACTGAGCTATATCCCCAGCCCCACAATTATTGTTTGTTTTTATTTTGAGACAGGGTCTCACTAAGTTGCCCAGTGTAGTTTTGAATGACCCTCCTCCCTCAGCCAATACAACACTGATAGTTGAATGTAAGAGGTAGTGTCTCATATAGTATAATGTTGTTAATTTCATTAGTAAAAGTATAAATTATAGTGTTTTAAGCCAAATAATTGTAATATGTTTAAATATATGAATAGCTTTGATAGCTGTATGCTTCATTTGTAGAACGTTAAAATTTTGTTAGCAGTTTTTTAAAATCACTTTAATATATTTGTATAGGATACTTGATATACTAAAACTCATACTGATAGGTGTACTTGCTGAACTATTGTATCTTGAATCTGTTAATTAACAAATAAATATCCTGATAAAGCATGTTAAAGTCAAATACCTCTTAAGTTGAACATGTGATCCTTCTGCCTTGGCCTTTTTTTGGGGGTGGGTACTAGGACCCGAACTAAGGACCTTACACTCGCCAGGCAGGCTCTGTGCCACTGAGCTATATCCCTGGCCCCTTGCCTTGGCCTCTTAAATTGCTGGATTACAGGTATGCACCACCATGGCCAGCTCAACATAAAAAGTTTTTAAAGTGAACCCCCCGCACCAACCTCTAATACTGGCCCAAAGGCCTTTGCACTGAGCATCCTCATCTCTTATTTTTTATTTTATGGTAGAGTCAGTCATTCAAGATGCTAATTTGCCCAGACTGGGCTCAGATTTGGAATCCTCCTGCCTCAGCCTCCCAGAGCACTGGGATTACACGCACTTTGCATCACTATGCCTGGCTGAGCAAGATGTATCTTGACAAATAATTACTGAGTAAAATATATTTTTATGATATTTATAGGTGGTAATTGTTCAGGTGTTTAATTTTTGTATTCTAGGACAAAGTTGGGGAATTTGCAAAACTCAGCAAGATTGAACTTCTTGAAGCTACTGAGAAGTCAATTGGTCCTCCGGAAATGCACAGGTATCACTGTGAACTCAAAAACTTCAGGGAGAAAGAAAAACAACTAGAGGTATTTATAGACTACTTATTTCTACTGTCCTTTTCTGATTTCTGTGTCTTAAATTGTGGAATTGAGACAAAATACCTGACACTCACAAGTAGAGTTTACAGTTAGAGGCTTCAGTCCATAGTCAGCTGACTCCAAGGCAGGGTAGCATGGCAGAGGGGTACCAGTCCATGGCAGGGCAGCCAGCAAGCAGCAAGCTTGCCTTCTTCCTCAACCTTTAGATTCCATCCAGGCTATAAGCCTATTGATTGGTACCACTCATGTCCAAGGTGGAGCTTCCATTATCCACATCCAGAGTTATACTAGGCCAACTTAGTCATCTCTCAACCTTACTCCCAGTATCACACATCCTAAATCCAGTCACCTCAGAAAAGCCCCAGCAATGGGTGCATGAAGCTTGGGATGACATCTACATATAAGCTTTAACAAGTAGAGAGTAGTAGTTCTATTCCCTGGGAAAGTTTTTTATTTTGATTGCTTTTTTTTAAAACCCAGCATTGTACTTGTTGACATCAAAGTGATGAGTTACAGTTGACTTGATAATGTAAAGGTTTTTGGTGGGGGTGGGTTCTTTTTGAGATAGGGTCTCGTTATGCACGTCAGGCTGGCTTTGAGCTCACTTCGTAGCCCAGGCTGGTCTTGAACTTGGCAAGGATATTCCTGCCTCAGCCTCCCAAATGCTGGGATTACAGGCGTGCACCACCATGCCTGGCTGATAATGTAAAGTTTGAACAATTTTATTTCAGCAGTACATATTATTGAGTTTTTAAGGAGCCTATAATGTGTCTTTCTCTTAGGAAGTTACGTGATTCTGTCATTCAATTAATATTATTAATTACCTACCATGTGCCAGGTACCTTCCAAAGTAGATACTACAGCAGATACAGATACAGTGTTTACTATACCTCTGTTGAACCGGTTTTCTCAGTGTACTTTTTTCCAGTCTCATGAAGGAAGGCTTTCTAAAGAGAACTTTATACATTTAGTTGTGTTAAAAGTTTTTAAGATTATCAACCTTTAGAAATGTCCTTTTAAAGCATACTCTTTGTAAATGTGTTTTATCTAATGGGTCTTTTTTCACATCCTTACATCTAAAATATATCAGTATAATTTCACAATGAGAAATCTTACAACTATTTCATAATGCATATATAATTGTAGTAAAATATTTTTATAATACTAATGCAATGGGGTTCTATAACCTGATAACCCTAGTACTACTTTTTATTTGTATATCATTGTTATGCCTTGTTGAGCTTTCATTTACACAGTTTGAGCATTCCTAATCCAAAATTTGAAATGCTCCAAAATCTGAAATGCTTTTAGTGTCACATTGGTGCTCAAAAATTTTGAATTTTATCTCAGCATGGCTGCACATGACTGTAATCCCAGCACTCAAGAGGTTGAAGCAGGACATTCAAGAGTTCTAGGCTAGACTGGACTACATAGCAGGACCATGTTTTTTAAAGAAAGCGTCAGATTGTGGAGCCTTTCAAATTTTGGGTTTTTGGACTAGAGATACTCCGCTGGTGACATCTGTAAAAATATTCCAGAATCTGAAAAATTTCAAAATCACAGACCTCTCCCCCTCTGCATTTTGTATAAGGGCTACTTAATCTTTTTTTAACAAATTGCATGTATCCCTGCAGTGGGTCGGAGAGATAACTTTTATCTTTAGGCAAGAGGAGTTCTGACTCAAGAGATGTGTCTGGGTTTTCTCATGTGATGTGACTAATAAATTACAGAACCTTGACTAGAGTTTGTATATGAATATTAACTTTTTTCCACTTCACAGTTTACCCCAAGCATCACTTGGGTAGCACGTTTGTTTCATTTATGTACTGACTCTCCTGAGTGTTGCTTGGGCAGGTGTCGTTTCAACCAATCAATTCTTGGGGCTGGGATTTAGCTCAGTGGCAAAAGCGCCTGCCTGGCAAGCGCAAGGTCGTGAGTTCAGTTCCCGGTACCAGAGAAAAAAACAAAAAAAAACAAAACAAAAAAAAACCTACTTCAACCAATCAATTCTTGTATTGAATAAACTTTGATAAAATTGTCATTTTTTTT